ATATCTTGACAAAAAATGTCTCCTCTCTTTTCATATATAGATGAGTAGTTTCACAAAGTTTCGCAAAAATCGGAGGAGGTGAGGTTCAAAATGGTCATTTTTTTGTCCCACTTGACGTGGAATCAATGTCTATACCGAGATCAAAGTCTACCACATGCCTCTGTATACTAAGATCCTCTGTCTACCACAGACCTCTGTGTACTGAGTATACTGAGGTCCTCTGGAGTATGGCTTATAATTATAGCACAGATCTTCGTATACCGAGGTACTCTGTCTATATACCTACCTATCACAGATCTCCGTATACAGAGGTCCTCTAATGCCTATCACACGCCTCCGCATGCAGAGGTCATCTGTCTACCACAGACCTCCGTATGCCGAGGCCCGAGATCATCACTGAGATCATTGTCTACCCGACCGGCACCGACCTCCGTGTGCCGAGGTCCTCTGGCTACTACAGACGTTCGTACACCGAGGTCAATGTCTCAGGAGGCCACCAAGTGGCCATTTGTTTATCCTGGAGACATTGGCAATCCTGCATAGCGCTGGAGTTTCTCAGAAACACTGTCCACATCAGTAAATACACAGTGTTTAGCTATTCGCCAGTCGTAACAGTCATATAGATGTCCGATAGCAAGCTGAACGGAAAATTACCATTGCAGTTATCAGTAGGTGATGTCCCATAACCATCCTACGACCCTCCCAGCACCCACTTATTCCATCCCCCAACCCCACCCCATCCCCCCCATCACACCACCCACCGCTGCCCCATCACCCTCCTGTCACCTGTCCTCCTGTCCTGTCACGGAGGTTGCGACCCTGTCACCCACCTGGTGATGACCGTTACCGGAGAGGAGCTCGCGGCGCCCCGAACAAGAGTCGCACGAGGTTGGCAGCTCGGCCACCGTGAGTCGATGAGCACGCGACGCAGCGCCCGGTCCGACACCGTTCAGAGCCGGCTGAGAGCGGAACCGTCGCATCAGCATCGATGTGGGTCGCACGTTGAGCACGGGCAGCCGGACGGGCGGCCGTCCGGCCGGGTCTCCGCCGTCCGCCTCCTGGCCCAGCATGGCGGTCCGGTAGCCACAGAGCATGTTGTCGCAGCCGACGGCGGCCGGCGGGGAGCGGCGGCCGGCGCCGGCCGGCTCCGCACCGCTCACCGGCGGCAGCCGGGGCACCTTGCGATCAGCGCCGCGCCGCGCCGAGGTCACCGGTACCGGCGGACCATGGGACGCTCAGGATAGTTACTCGGACGGACGTCCCGCAGAGACGCAGATCGGTGGACGAGCCGCTCACCGAGCCGATCCTCCAGGCAGCGCGACTTCACAGCTAAGGTCGTCTGCTTCACTGCTACTTGATCGAAGCTCTGTGTGGAGCTGTAGCTGACGCGGCTGATGGCGACAATGGGTGAGCGCTAGTGGCACATGTCCGTCCGTCCGTCCGTCGGTGATGCAGCCGGACGGCACACTGCTACTGCCACTGTCGGCGCCGCCGCCGCCGTCGGCGACGCCGCCATTCCGTATTGATCGCACCCCGCCGTCCGGCCGACCGACCCCGCCGCATGCCGATGGTCTTGGCCGTGAAGGGCCTGGGGCTGCCCCGCGCCGCCTACAGCCGGTGGCCATGGTGTCACTGCCACGGTACTCACAGTCCTCCGAACTTCAGCAAACTTCAGCGCTTCGTCACGGGATACTGGTAGGTATGGTATTCCATCATACGGCCTTGGGTGCCGCTGGTCTCCAATCAATACATTTAGATATTAATGCGATCCGCTTCCCACACCAGTGCAAGCGGTACCCAACACGATGGTCAATGCTTGGGAAATAGGAACATTATCGCCGCACGGTTTCATCTACTTTTCACCTCCTCACTATAGAGTTCTACTTTGGTTGACAAGACAGTGCATTGTGCAGCCTCTAATAAAATATGCGTGGGTAATAAACATTTGTCGCCTTTGCGGCTCGCGTTATTAGACTTGCATCTGCTTGGGAAAGAAATGTTTTATGACGATACCGGAAGCCGGAACTTAATTATCCTGACACTAATGATGACGAAGTGATGACGCGGTACCGCTTCTCGAACGTGGCCACTCAACAAATAACCTGTAAACAGTTTTGCGAGGTGGTTGTCTGCGCAGGAGCAAGCTGACTCGTGAATGGCTCGTGTCTTTTAAGCGTTTAGTAGAGGGAGCACATCATGATGGCTCGGACGAGTTGAACGATGAAACAGCGGTTATGGTTGACTCACGAGTTGACTCACTTCTTCATTCTTTTTCATTACGGAGCGAGCGAAGCGAGCGTAGTTTTTCCGAAATTTCTGAGCATGAGCGGCCGGCCGGCCGTGCGGACGCTTTTGCGAGGCTTATATCTCAGCAACCACTTCACCGATTTACATGCAGTAATTTTTGTAGGGTAGCTTCATTCCTTCTACCAAGTATTGGACTATTCCCGATGCATGTGAGTAGCCCCTTATGCACGTGCCACGTGCAAAACGAAGAGGTGTCAGTTTTGTAATAGTTGCAATATCTCGGTAACTACTTGGCCGATTGCGCTGAAAGTTGGCAATTGGCATGTAGGTAGACACCCACTAGGCAATGTATATCCATGTGCCAGAGTTGGGGTACTGCTGCACGTGCGCACGTGCAGGGGTCGTTTCCAGATTCGAGAACGGCTGGACTGATGGCGCTCAAATTTGGTACACGGTTAGGGACCAGTTCATAGGGTGCCGTGCACAAGTCATTTGGGACCCATTTTGCACGTGCGCACGTGCAGGGTGCCGCTTCCAGATCTCGAGAACGGCTGGGCCGATTGTGCTAAAATTTGACACATCGCTAGAGACCGCTTAGTAGGGTGCCGTGCACAAGTCAGTTGGAGGTAGGGGAGAGTGGGGTAATTTGGCCGATGGTGTAAATTGGCCGCCCCCACCTGTACGAAAGCTGATAAAAGTGAGTAAAATAACTTTAGTCTCTATTCATTTGTCATCGGCAGAACTAAATCGAGGACAAATGTCAAAGCTTTCCCCCTCGTAGTTTTATTCAAAATTAATAAAACGTGAATTTCGTTAGAAAATGGTAACTTTTACTTTCGTTTAAAAATTTGTATAACATGTAGTATTTGGGCTGTAAACGAATTCCAACATTATATCGCCATTCTTGAGGGTGTTCAGCGGTTCCAAGAGCAATTTCATCTAGTTATGTACAGCAATGACAACTTTATAGACAACAATTTTCAGAATGGCAATGTGGGGTTATTTGGCCGGGACTAGCGGGGCAACTTGGCCGGTGCGCTCAGAGTCACTATGCTGGGACGGCCGAGCTGTCATGGTCAATTATATCATAAAGGACATTATTCATGACCAACTTTGACTACCTTGATGCCATATTTCCTATTGGACAGCTGTAAGAGCATGTGACGTCATCAAAGGTTACCTAACGCTTTTTTTGCTAATAAATGCTTACATAAAAAGATACAGCCGCGCAAATGGTCTCATTGTGTTCAGCTCGTCAAGGCGCATCGAATGATATACATGATGACCTTGAACTCATGTAACCTTGAGGTCAAGCGACCTGAGGTAACGTGACCTGAAGCTAACCTTTGACCTTGACCTCTTGAGGTCAACACATACATGTTTCGATGCGGAATGACGAGAGAATTACGATGGTACTTTTAGTTTTGGCCTAGCTTAAAGGAAATAGTTCACTTTTAACATGGGGTTTTGAGCTGGAATAGCAGTTTCGTAGCTTGAGCTGAGACTAGCACAAATCAGGAGCTTTTACGGCTCAACGATCACCCTAGACGAAGAAATTCCATTTCTCGTTCCGAAAAGAGTGCCTTGTAGAGGAATGCGTGCCTTGCACAGGAATGCAGCCACGTCATCGTCAGCCAATCAGCGTGCTGCTTACAGCCAATGCAGTATTCGTAGGTTTGAGCTACGCAATATGATTGGTCAATGCGTAATAAGCTTCCGCGTCAAACATTATTTTACATAGAATATAGTTCGCCCTATATTAAAATAAAGAAAATAATTGTTTTTACAAAAAAGTTTTATTTTATTTCATGATTATTTTGAGCATAAAAAATCATAAATCAATAGCAAAATACTGATTTCAGGAAAGTGGACTGTTTCCTTTAATTACTTCAAAAGCTATTCGTAAAAAAACTGTTATCGCATCTAGAGCCGCTATTTTGACTATTTTCGACCCCTGTGACGGCTGAGTCAACCTCCAAAATGCTTCAAATGCGTCGTAGGACACGCGTCATTGCTGAATGTGAAGCTGACTCGCCTATAACAAAAATCATGGCCTCAAACTAACACCGGCCAAATTGCCCCACACCCCCGGCCAAATAACCCTGCTAGTGGGGCAATTTGCAGACCTTTGTAATGCGTCACAATTTCAATATAAGTAGTTACTCTATCATTTCAAGTTTACTGTCCAGTAAAGTAAAATGTATGCCACACCTGTCAGCGTTGAGAAAATGCAGAAATGTGTTGTCAATTTATAGTTACATCGTTATCTAAAAAAGCGGCCAAATTACCCCACTCTCCCCTACCCCATCGAAATTTTGCACGTGCAAGGCTCACCTCGCTCGCTCCGTTAGTCACCCCAAAAGGCGTTATGCTGGTGATAGTTGACTCACTTCATTCCCAAGTTGTTTGCTGCCCCCACATAAAGAATATCCATTGCGCCGCAAAGCGGCCTGGCTGGGCCCAGCTCCATACAGCTGGGCTCCCATAATCATTTTAGGAGATTTACACCCCTGTTTGCTGGAGTGTATGTGTCGAGGCTGAATCAAGTGAGGTTCAGCATCGACAGCTCTTTATTTTTATACATAAAACACACCAGAACAGGCACATTGCTGACCTCGTTAACGAGGTTAATTCTCACCGAATGAAGCAGGGAGTCAGAGGATTCAGCTTTCTCCCACTGCAAAACAAAATATGCAACACCCCTTCCCTTTTCAACCTCACTACATTTGCCGTGCTCAAGGCGCAGTGCTTACCTTTTTGGCTCGATGTATCTCATGATCTGACTTGGCTCGACTCAGCATCGGCATTTCACTCCATCGGGTGGGACGATAACTGAAAAGAAGTCGCAGCAATATTAGTCTGCAATCACCCGGGTTGACACGCCAAATATCGTGATATTTCTTTTATATCTAGTTATGCGGTGAACCATGGGGGTAAAGAAATGTGCCCGACGGGGGTAAAGACATGTGCCCGATCATTTGTGTTTGTGTGTAATGTGTGCATATCGTTTGGGTAAGTGTTTATGCAGAGTAGACTTGAATGGGCTCCACAATTATGTGAATCATGTATTCGGCAGCTCAATGACAATAGCTCGACGGGGACCTCTATTGTATCGGTGATACCTCATGATAGTATTGGCAGGGGCATGATTGAAAGGGAGCAACCGCGAAAGGTGAGACAGTCAACCGATTGTTGGGGTCCATATTCTCCATTTCTTCCTATTCATTACCATGGAGCGTAATGCTAAAAATCGGATCCTTAGGGGGAGGGGGGTTTAAAGGTAGGCACGGGCATATCCCCCTGCAGCCGCCAGTGAATGACTTATCGTGTGCTACGCAACAATCGCAGATTACGTCGCTCATTCATTGATGAATGCAAATTGCTTATCTGTTTTGTCTGACACTCACCAGTCACCGGCTGGGGGGTGGCTTAACCCTCGCCCTGGCAGCGCATTTTTCATAACACGGCCTGGCAGGGGGGGGGGGGGGGGGGGGGTTGATGCGACCCCCCTCGCGATTGGCTCCTATGGCACCTAGAAACACCAAATTTGGTAGGTAGGTGATCCCCCTGGAGTTCTCGCCCCTGTGCAAATTTGGTTGCTCTAGGTCAATATTTAGGGGGGTTTTGGCCTTTGGGGGGTATAAATGTGAAAATTTCGCTAAAACAGGTCAAAAGTTTTTCGCTTATAACTTTTGATCTAATTAAGATAGAGAAAAACGAAAAGCACCAGTGAACTCAGCACGTCAAGGCGCGTCGAATGATATACTTTTTTGCTTGCTTAAGTGTATTTAAAGTTTTCCTTAATTTTTAAATAAACTTTAATTAATTAATTAAGTTCAAGTTAACCAAATTGCATCATATCGCATATCATTCGATTCGGCTGATCATCAGAAACACAATGACACCATTTTTTAAGCTCTAGCTTCATTATGTGCCAAGTTATTGGCAAAAACGTCATTTGACATCAGTTGACCTCATTTGACCTGACCCATGGATAAGTACACCAAACAAAGAAGCATCAAGTGACCTGTTGTTAATTACTATGGTTTCAAAGCACAAAAGTGATGAAAAAAAGCGGAAATCTCCAGTATTTTCCGAATTTAGTATTTTCCCATAGGCTTAACATTACGACGTAATGACCTCTAACTGACCTCAGGTCAGTGACCTAAAAAAACCCGAACTATATGTTATACAACTCGGTGAACTTAGCACATCCTGAAAGTTTGAAGGAAATCAGTCCAAAACTGTGAGTTGGACAGGTGCAAAAAGAAAATTGAAATTTGACCATGACCTTGTACCGGTTTTTCTGGCCTGGTGACCTGACCCAAGGTCACCCGGACTTGAAATTTTCAGGTCATACGTAAAAAGGTTGCCCCATAGGCTGTGCCAAATTTGGCAGCGCCGCCCGTTTTTACGCTATCTTCGAAAAACCTTAGGGGGGTTGCATCAACCCCTCCCGCCAGGGCGAGGGTTAATTAACCCGCGCCCCACTGGGGGGCTATTCATAGCCCCCTCCCGTTTTTCTGCAATAACTTCCAAACCGCTTGACGTATCGACACCAAACTTTCAGTACCTTCGGCTGCATCAATTTGACACCTTGTGTTAAAATATGCTTTTCGTAGCTACCATACGTCGGCCGGAAACGACGTCAGAGTGATGTCATGTTCGGCCGATTTCGACGCAAAACATTGAGCCACGGCAATCGCTCCCAAGAGCTCAGTTTTTAAGCTAGATCCAATTTCTTTGCATGAAAGGACTCAAAAGTCAAAATAGACTGCGCTATCAAACTGCTATCTCGGATTTTCAAAATGTTAAAATTTTGAAAATTATCCATAATAAAATTCAAAATATAGTTACGTTTTTATTATTTCAAAACTTTTTGACTTTTCGAAAAAAAAACGTAATATAGGTATGTGATAGAACACATACTTATGACTTAGGTACTCTAGCAAGTTTTAGCTAAATATCTTCCAAAATGGCCAAGTTATTTTTTCATCATTGCAAAAAAAATCACAATCATAAATTTTTCCAATAAATTTTCGGTACGTATTTGACATCGTACACCAATATAAATAGGCTCCATCGTGTTCCTAAGCTCAAACTGCATCCAATATACACCTTTTTGGTTGAAAAATTTTAACTTCAAAATTTGACCTTTTTTGACCTGAAAGTGACCTGACCTATGCTAAATTCAACTCAAAATGACCTCAAATGACACAAACGACTTGGAGGTAAGCTATGGTATTTCTGAGCATGATTAATAATGTAAATAGAGTGAATAACCTTATGCTCATGTTATATGTTGCAAATTGATATAATTAAAACTAAATATGATATATTTCGATATTGCACCGTCATCAGAATAAGAATGACCGTCATCCGTCATCATTCTTATTCTGATGACGGTGCAATATCGAAACATATCATTTATCAATTTAGTTTTAATTATATCAATTTGCAACATATAACATGAGCATAAGGTTATTCACTCTAATTTACATGACACAAACGACATCAAATTCGAAATCTGTGGACTATGGCCTAAATGGACCATAAAACATGTGTCACGTGACCGACGCATGATATACTATTTCTGTGACCTGTGATGACCTGACCCTGACCTGAAAATCAAAGTACAAGTTTGGTACCCTTAACCCGCGCATGACTGGGGGGGGGGGGCTCTACAGAGCCCCCTCATGTTTTTCAGCAATATCTTCTACACCGTTTGACGGGTCAACACGAAACTTGCGGTACCCTCAGAGGCATCAATTTGACACCTTGTGTTAAAATTTCAACTTTCTAGTTACCATAGTTTAGCCGGAAGGACGTCAGAGTGACGTCATGTCGGCCGATTTTCATGCAAAATACTGAAATACGGCAAACGCTCTCAAGAGCTCAGTTTTAAAGCTAGATCCATTTTCGTTGCATGAGTGGACTATAAATACACGTAGCTATCGAACTGCTATCTCGAATTTTCGAAATTTTGAAAATTTTGAAAAATATTTATTTACAATTACAAAAATATATTTTTTGATTTTTTTTTCATTTTTTTTTTACTTTTCGCAAAAAACGGAATATATGTGATAGAACACACACTGATGAACTAGATTTGCAAGTTTTAGCCCAATATCTTCAAAAATAGCCAAGTTATTCGCATTATTGTCAAAATTTTACAATTCTATGTTTTTTCAAATCCATTTTTCAGTACGTTTTTGACGTCGTACAGCAATATAAATGGCACCCTCGTGTTCCTGAGCTCAAACTGCATCTGATAGGCACCTTTTTTGTTGAAAAATTTCATTTTCAAAATTTGACCTTTTCTGACCTGAAAGTGACCTGACCTCCGGTAAATTCAGATGACAATGACCTCAAATGACACAGACGACACTATTTTCGAAATCTACGAATAAAATGGACCATAAAACATGCGTCACGTGACCGATACATAATATACAATTTTCGTGACCTAGGATGACCTGGCCTTGACCTTAAAAGTTCGAAGTAAAATTTCGGTACCCTCAGGGTATCTAAGGCATCCGTCAAGGAGTGCGTAAACCAAAAATGAGCCTGATCGGACCGGCGGTCCGGCGGTCAGAGCCTAAATTGTGAACTAACAAAAATGTCGATAATTTTTACTTTGACCTGACCTGTGACGTCATCGGTGACCTAAAGGTCAATGAAAATAGGTTTCGCTCGACGGTTTTTCCAGGGCTATCAGACGCCGTTTGAATTTTGACGATCGGCCCAGTAGTTTCGGAGATAGGAGGGGGGCTCTGGAGAGGCCCCCCCCCAGTCACTCGCGTTATGGAAAATACCCCAGTCATGTGCGGGTTAAGGGTATCTAAAGCATCTGTTTACGAGTGTGTAAACCAAAAATGGGCCTGATTTGACATGTAAGACGGCGGCTAGAGCCCAAAAGGTAAACAAGCCGAAATGCTAATAATTTTTTCTTTGACCTGACCTGTGACGTCATCGGTGACCTCGAGGTCAATGAAATTAGGGTTCGCTCGACAGTTTTTCCGGGGCTATCAGACACCGTTTGAATTTTGACGATCGGCCCAGTCACAGATAACAATAGTACTACTGTTATCTGTGGCCCAATATTTTCGGAGTTAGGAAGAGGGCTATGAAGAGCCCCCCCCCCCCCAGTAGGGCGCGTTATACGCAGACCCCAGTGGGACGCGGGTTAAGTAATAATTCACCCACCTGGGGTGGTTGGAAATGAGGAAGGAGGCCGGGTGTCTTCAGCTCTTGGGGTGATAATTGGTAGTCACTACTCAGTATCCACCCACTGGGGGTAGTGTGGAAGGAAGCCGAGGGTGGCTGGTCGTAAAACTCACCCATTGGCCACTGGGAAGTGTTTCTCTCCCGCCGGTGGTATAGTGTTACCCGCTGGGGGTAGTGTTACTCACCCGCTGGGGATAGTGTTACTCATTACTATCCCGCTGATGGTAATATTATTCAGTATTCACCCGCTGAGGGTAGTACTACTCACCCGCTGGGGGTAGTGGGGAAGGAGGCTGAGTAGAGCTCCTGGGTACGCTGATGACGCTGTAGTGCGTCCGAAAAGAGCACGTGCCGTTCGGCCGTGAACCTCCCCCCGGAGCCGGCGCTGGTCGGACCACGACCCTGCATGATCCAGTCGACATCGGCCCCTGACGCCAGACCACGACAGGCTACCGTCAGTTAACGGGAAGCAGCAGGGGTAAACAAACAACAAATCGGATAAGGGAGCGCGGCAGCAGTCGCCATGTGGTCGCATTGACCTGTGGCTGCTGTACTTGGAAGGTCAGCAAACACTGGTTACAGATTTAATTTCGGTGTCCATGTCCAACCATAACTGCATATTTTGTAAATGATGGTTTACAGCAAGCAAGCCAGCATTACGTTATAAACAGTGAATGAAAACCGAAATAGCTGAGGCCTGAACATCCCTCCGATCTGTCGCAGCACCTACCGCTAGGAGGCCGGCGCAGGGAGCTGCGCGGTCCGTTCGGGCCGGGCAGCTGCAGAGAATACTCCACCAGACCGTCCTCTGTCAGCCGCGGCAGCTGCTTCCGCTGCAGGCGCACCGACACGGCGCCGCTGACACCCGCGTGGCCGGCCCGCTCCAGGCGCTGGCAGGCCTCGGTGAGCGCCCCGCTGCCGGACGAGCCTGCCAGCTGACCCAGCAGGGCCACGCACTCGAGCGCCGCCTGCCGCACGCGCCGCTTCTCATCAGCCAGAGTAGGCGCCACGTGCTCCGCCAGCCGCGCCAGGTTGAACGAGCTCGCCGGGAACGTCAACAGCGCGTAGATGATGACATTGAGCACGTGCTCGCGCACAGAGGCGTCTCGGTGTTTCAGATGCCCGCGCAGCAGGGTGAGAACCGGCTCGGCGCCCAGCTGGCGCATCAGGTGGCGCCAGACGCGGTAGCACTCTGTGCGCACCACCAGCCGGCCGCTGCCGAGCTGGCCGACCAGCGCGTCCACTACCTGTCTGAGCAGCGGGCTGAGCGCGAGCTGCAGCCGGTCAGCCAGCACCCGGTACATCTCCAGCGCCGACAGCGTCACCTTGAAGTTGTCCGAGCCGAGCAGCGAGCCGATCAGGTGCAGCAGCTGCGGCAGGTGCCGCTCCAGCGCCGCCGGCTCCACAGTCTCGCGCAGCACGCGCAGCAGCTCCTCGGAGCCCTCTGCGCCGCTCCGCCAGCTCTCCTGCGGCGACAGAACGGCAGCCGTTAGCAACGCGAGGCATTTCGGCATTTAGGTGTACCGTTTACCGTAGCCTCACTTCAGTCCGAACAGCCAAAGCTTATTTACGGCACTTGGCATGGTTAGGCCCCTGTGTGTATGTGAATGTGTGGCTGGGGAGTGTTTTTGACCACTTCCCAGATTTTTTGTATCCTCATGTATTATGTGTGTGGACACTGCAGTGTGTTGCGACGCGACATACAGGTATTGTTGGAAAAACCGTCTCTCGGCTTGAAAGTTAATGTTAACCTTCCGTAACTTCTAAGCCACTAATCCAGTTTCCAAACAAGCTGGGACCACTGAAGCCGGTCCGTACTGCGGGAGGCCTCACTGTGGAATGCAGTGGGAGGCCCTGGGGATGCGTGGCCCGTGGAATGCAGGGAACGCCTGGTGGGAGCCGAGCGGGCAGCTCCGCTTATCGGGATGGCTGCTCTGGTAGCACGGACAAAGGGTTCGAGGATGACATTGTTCTGGATCCGTGGGGTGTGTGATAATGTAAGGAAGGCTGACTTTCGAAGGTAAAACTACAAAGACATCATTCCGCATAGCCGTGATGGGAGAATATACGTTCCCCACTGATGGGGTGAATCCGGCTGACTTACTGATAGATCCATATCGGTGTCCATCTCCCCACATGCGCCAGCTTCTTCGAAGATCATTTGGTTTTGCATTATCTTGCGGTAGGTACCTAACAGATTCTTTTAGATTCAGCCTTGACAGTTACCGATGCTAAATAGCCGGTGAGCTCCGTTGTGTCGACAAAATTGATTATGATTGCTTCAATGTCTTCTCACCGACATTCGCTGCTGTATTTCTTTCTGATATTTGTTTACGACAGGAAGCATGACTATATGCGACTATTGACTGTTGTGTTTACTTGTTCAGGGATCTTATGCGATACTAGAATCCGGTACATCAATAGCATGCAAGCACGGCATAGATAAAGCACTCAAACAGCAATGGCCTCAGGCTTGGGTAATGTCTATATGTAGTCTCAAGAGGGGCCGTTGTCTGTCGCCCTGAGGAGGAACACCGCCTGTTGTTCCCGATAAACCACTGTCCGCCGTACAAGGAGGCCTTTTGCCTGTCGTTTCAGGAGAACCACTGTCTGTCGTTTCAGACTACCACTACCAGCCGTTGTCTAGAGGACCACCGTCACCGTCTGCCGTCACCCACGAGCCCGCACGCTTCAAAGCACTGCGGCGATGGTCCGACTACACACACGGCTGCGGTCTATGGCCGCCGTCTGGGGGGGGGGGGGGGGGGGGCGCAGCAGAAGCTCGCCAGGTGCGCCCCGCACCGCCGCCTCTGTCGACTGGTGACCGGGTCCAGGTGGCCGGGGAGCACCACCACCAGCAGCAGCCCATTAGCACCTGCTCACGTGACTGGCGCCGCCCTCGGCAAGTGGGCCATGTCAACATCACGGGACGGCGGCACCAGCCGGCGACACGCCATCCACGCCGCCCATCGAGCTTTCCATCCCCGGTATCGAGATCGATTCAGCTTCATTACGACACAAATGGTAGAGACGTCATGCAATTCATATTTAACAAGGTGATCTAATGCGTAGACCTTCTTGAATGTTTTTGGCATAGTGAGGTGGGTTGATGCAAGTTGCAACCTTCCTAAGCCTTTTCTCGAATATGCAAATATGAGCTCAGGATGTGCTGAGGTTTCTTATGAGCGGGTCGGACCGAAATTCTGAACCAATCAATATCCCCTGATTCTGAACAGCCTTGTGTTCATTCTTCGGGCACGTCATGCACACTAAAAAGATATTGGCTTACTGTCAAGGTTCGAGATTAGAGCCTCATATGCAACCCTGAACCCGCAACCCACAAAGGCCATCCATACTCATCAAGGTGACCTGAGGCTGACCCTTGACAGGCGCGGAAGAAGAGAGAGCCAATCAAGCCGAGAAATGCATTCAGACCGTTCACTGTTCAGTTCGTCAGCTTCGGTGTTGGGCCGGGAGCAGAACATCGGTAGTTATGCGATGGCAGGCCGATCTGCCGGCCGACGGATATATTTAGGTCGGCGGCAGGGTCCATGACGCGTTGCGGAGGCGAGACTTCTGGACGACACGGAGCCCTAGAAACGTATCCTCTCTCCATCACGACATCGGAGAGGGGAATCGGTACCACATCGCCATAGTTTTTTTATAATAAATATTCTGGACATGTCTCGATATGACAAACGTTGCGCTTATTGCCTATCCTACCTACCAGTGCCTGGTGCCTACCTATTATTGTTATATGACCATTTTTGTAAAAGTCATTCACAAAAAACGAGTCGTATGTACGTACATTATTGACTTGACTTATGAGGCCAGCGGTCAACCTGAGGACTAAAAATCGGTAAGTTCCTTTCGTAGAATCAACGTTTTGATACAGCACAATCACGCATTACTATTTAGAAGCTCTAGCTCTATAAGAAGGCAAACACCTAGGAGGCTCGTAACACGAAGTCTTCCTTAGCGCTGTCGAAAGAAGCATGGAATGGCCAGGAACGACTTACCACTGCCAGCGAGGGTTTATCTACATGTATATGTGATTGTGCATATGTACATATGTACGTTTATGTACATATATAAGCCCGTCTCTTGCAGCAAAGTGGTTGCTAGCCACTAAGCACACTGGCGGAACATACAAAGTCGGCATTGAACACTACGCGAGAGGAATTCACCCCAAAAGATACAATGAAATAAACCAGTAAAACACCTTTTGGGCGAAGAACGAGCGAGCGAGATAGTGAGCCCTGCACGTGCGGAAGGGCGAGAGGGTACTTTCAACGGGCTTGTGCAAAGCACCCTTCTAACCGGTGGCTACCGGTGTGCCAAATTTGAACGCAATCGGCCCAGCCAATCCTGAGATCTGGAGGCGGCATTCTGCACGTGCGCACGTGCAAACGGGGTCCAAACTGACTTTTTCACGGCACCCTATTAACCGGTCCCCAACTGTGTACCAAATTTGAGCGCAATCGGCCCAGCCGTTCTCGAGATCTGGAAGCGCCCCCTGCACGTGCGCACGTGCAGTAGCACCCTAACCGCAACACATGGAAATGCATTGCCTGGTGGGTGCCTACCTGTATGCCAAGTTTCAGCGAAATCGCCCCAGTAATTACCGAGTTACTGAAATGGGAACAAATTTGGCACCCCTTCTTTTTGCATTTTGCACGTGCAGTGGGGGTCACTCACATAGATCAAGAGTATCCGACCTTTGGTAGAAGGGATGCAGCTACCCTATAAAAATTACCGCAAGACAATCTCTCAAGCCGCTGCTGAGATATGGGCCTCTCAAAATCACTACTTTTGCAAAACTGCTTGAACACCCTTGACTTTTCACGTGGCACGTGCCACGACGGTCACTGAGATGTATCAAAGGTAGTCAATTACGGAGTAGAAGGGATGGGGCTACCCAGCAAAATAGACCGCAGGTCAATCCGTCCAGCGGTTGCTGAGATACCTATAAGCCTCTCAAAAGCGTTACAGGCCGGGCCGGGCCGGGCCGGGCCGGGCCGCTCATACTGAGATTTTCCCGTTATATTGAAAAGACTTCGCTTCGCTCGCTGCGCTCGCTCGCTCGTAATCAAACTGCCATGAATGAATCGCCATGAATCGAAACTGCCATGAGTCGAAATGCCAAGAGAGTTCGCATTCCTTTTGATGTGAGTTGAAAATAAGTTTTTACAAGGAAAATTGAGCAACATTTATGCGAGGAAAATGGCAAGTGAATAGTAATAATAAATTTCATACACCGTGGGGGTTGGGTGGGGGGAAGCGTACCTATTTAGGTACTTATTTACCTATTATTTACCTATTTACCACCTACCTATTTACCCCTAAGCAGCCTGGATACGACATTGCCCATTGGCACAGACCGATATCGAATCCAACGCCTACATACTTACCAGGAATGGAAG